TTTCACGTCTTCCGTCATAGGTTGGAAATTTAGTGTCTTAACTATTATCCAATGCTTATTACTAAATACTGCGGTTCCTTGCCTTACAGGTAATATTCCAGGATTTTTATTTAGTTCCTGAAGTTGAAGGGCGTGGAGATGCATCACCGTGGTCATCGCCAGGACGAGCAGGAGGTGCTTGTGAAGGGCGTTTCACATTCTTTAGTGGTACTTTAGTGTCACGTCCTTTTATAGTAACCGGAATAGTGTTTCTATGTATTTTATCCGTTACTTGTGCTATATTAAAACGCGGTTTATCTTTACTAATTCTATTATTTGTTCCTTTTGTATAAATTATATCTCCGGGCTCGATATTAAATTTAATTTCTCCTCCTCGTTTTTCAATAATTTTCTCTTTATTTTGTATAGCTTTTTCAGTTAAGTGTTTATATAAGTACTTGGTGCGCCTAACGTGTTCTTTAATTAATTCTTGGAAATATTGTTTTTCGAAGTTAACGTCAAATGGATGTCTTGATTCTGTATGTCCTAACAAGACTTCAAATGGTGTTAAACCTGTTGTAGAATGTATGGTGTGGTTATATGCCATGATTGCGTATGTCATTATAAAAGATGACTCTGTATATTTATGATCATGTTTTCCTATTCTGTATATTTCTAATAAAGTGGAATGGAATCTTTCTATAAGTCCCATTGAATTATGGTTGTTAGGGGTACCAATATGTAATTCTACTTTATAAAATGTTAACAGTTCTTTAAGTAAAGCATTATTGAATTCCGTCCCGGGGTCACAACTAAGTTTCTGCGGAACGCCATATAGTGAAAAATATTTAATAAGGGCTCTAACGACTTCGGGGGTCGATCTGTTAGTTAATTCAAAGGCTTGTCCTAATTTACTGAATGCATCTATGATGGTTAAATAATAATGGCCTTCTATTGAGAAGATGTCTATAAATATTTCCTCTAAGGGCTTACTTTGAGTTTGAGTTAATTGTAATTTAGGTTTCATTGGTTTTCGGTCATATTTCATGATTTTACAAGTTTCACAAGAATTTATAATACTAGCTACTGTTTGAGCCATGTTATGCCAAAAATATAAACGTTTAATATGGATTAAGGTTTCTTTAATACCGCGATGACATGTTTTTCCTTCGTGATATTTCTGTACTATGTCTCTTTGTTCCATTTCATTTTCTACAAAGACAACACGTTTTGTGCATTCGAAAAATTTAACAAGTTCTTTATTAAATAAAAATATTACTAACTGTGTAAATTGTTTGCGGTGTTCTTCATTTTCGAAATAGATAAAATATTTAGTTTTATTTCTAATGTATTCTTTTAGAAACTGTTTAACGAGATCGGATCGATTTAAGGGTAAGTGTACTTCTAAAATTTTTTGTTTTTCTCGAGATAAATTCTTTACAGATAATCGGTCTATGTTCCAACTATATACTAAAATTTGATTTGGTTTAGTGTCGATTGCTTCCTGCAAAATGGGAATGCCTTGTGACTCAGTATCTTGCGCGGAATGTGCGGTTTCTAAATCATAAGATTTTTCAGATGCTGTTAACGTGCTACTAGATGGGTAAGGTATTGAATATGGTGATTTTATTGAAAGCGTCTTTTCAGAATCGGAGTCAGTAATGGTGATAGCTTTTTCGGACTCTATTTCTGAAATAGACATTGATTCGGGTGAGGGTTGTTTAACTGTTCTCTTTTGTAATTGTTCTAATTCTTTTATTTCTTTTCTTAATTGTTGTATTTCTTTATTCAAATCTTCACTTTTATCTATGTTAGGTTTTGTGGAATAATTATCTCTTTTATCTAGGGCATTAATTTTAATACGCGACAGAGCGTCTGCGTTACAGTTTTGTTTACCGCTCTTATGTATTATGTTGAAATCATATTCGGCTAAACGTAAGCGCCATCTTGTCAGTCTGCTATTTGTTTCTTTAAGGGAATTTAACCATGTTAAGGTTTTATGATCGGTAATGATTGTAAACCTTTTACCGTATAAATATGGGCGGAAATATTTAATTGCCCAAACTATTGAAAGGAGTTCTTTTTCTGTAACACTATAACGGGTTTCGGCATCGTTTAGTGTGCGGCTCGCATAAGCAATTGGTTTATCTTGCCCAATGGGTCCTTGTGATAGTACAGCGCCTAATGCAAATTCAGAGGCGTCTGTCGTTAAAATAAATGGTTTATTGTAATCTGGGTATTCTAATATAGGTGCGTTTGTTAGAAGTTCTTTACATTTATTAAAAGATTGTATAAATTTATTATCATCAAGAGGCATTAAACGTTTCTTTTTAAGTCTTTGTGTCATAGGTTGCGTTATCTTGCTAAAGTCTTTAATAAAGCGTCGATAATAACCTATTAATCCTAAAAATCTTTTGATTTCTGTTGTCGTTCTAGGTAAAGGATAA